AGGATTAAAAATGTAAAAAACAAATTTTTTTTCATCATTTTGGAAAAAAATCAGGTCATTGACCTATGTGGAAAATGTCTTTGTTTTATTAAAAGGTTGTGTGCCGGTTTTGTCATGAGAGTGTAAGTGAAAGATATTTTGGTGTCGAGCTGAACAGGAGAACTAATGGGTTCAGATCTGTCACCTCATTTCTTCTAAGTATGAATATGATTCATTTATCTCTGTCTCTCTATGTGTTTATCTCTGGTAGGATGACGAGGACGTGTCTTCTGGTGTTCCTGAGTTTGACACCGTGTCTGATAACGGGCTGCTGAGCAGAAACGAGCCCATCCGCAGTAAAGTGTCCAAACTCACTGAAAAACTTCGCAAGCATGTCCCTTCCAACACCATCGGTCACTATCGATCTCTTTGTACTTCATATTTTTTCGCCATCTATATTATATCCACCTTTAAAACCATATTTTCTTTTTGTCCTTCCACAGGGAACTGTTCCCAGTGCAATTCGGCGTTTTCTGTTTTAAAGAAAAGGGTATGGCCTCTGATCTTTATCCTGTTTAACATGCTATTCGACTTATATGATGTTTCAGTTTCACTCATGATTATTTTATTTTTCCAGAGAAACTGCAGTAACTGTGGTGTCGGTTTTTGTTCCCGCTGTTGCTCGTATAAAGTGTTCAAATCCATCATGGGAGCCACAGGTATGAGAAGAGCGTGTGAATCTTGTAAAGAATGTTTTATTGAAGACGAATTTACACACTGTTCTTTTTCTTTCTCGCACCCTTCAGCTCCTGAAGCCCAAAGAGAGACTGTATTTGTTTGTTCTATGTGTAATACTTTCCTCACCACCAAGTAGGATTGACGAAATAATCTTTCACCATTGCAATGCTTTGAAAGAAACTAGGAGAAGAACCACAAGATGGCTACTCCAGTGATTCTTGCTGTTTCTTTCCTTCACTGTGGAGCATTTCACATGGACGACCAAAATCCTGCAGCTTATGTTGCCTCAACACTCTTTCTGAGGTTCCTCTGAGTTTTTTTTTTTTGGTCTGTCCAAAACTCGTGACCCCTATGTGAACTCCTTTGTCAAAATGGTGACCTTTTCCTTGGAATATGCTGCTTTCCTCAGTCACCACTATTATTTATCAAAGCCTCACACCAAGACTGATTGGTTTATTTGGAATTCACTTTGCTGCAATATCAAATGCTGTAGTTTCATCAACCCTTATTATAACATCACTTTCCAGAATGTGAGCCCTTGGTGGGATATATGTCAGATTAATATTAAGGGTCCAGTTTATCTGTTATTATGATATCACATCATCTTAAAAAGGACCATGAAAACGATTTTGGTTATTTATTGAACTGGATGCCAAAACCAATGAATCTGAGCATTTTATATGGGTCCTATATACTGTACCACATACTGTCAAATCTGATTAGTTGACAGTGGAAGAATATTAGTTTAATTCTGTCATAAACCTTTTGACTAAGCCTTTACAATTCAACCTTCTGCTAGCTGCTTATCTGCTTGAACCCATGATTATTGGTTATATAATTTATTTGTGTAAGTTTGTCTGGAAAAGCTTTAATTTGTATATGTTTGTTGTTGGAACGCCCTCAGAAACCATTTATACTAATCAAAATAATAGCATTATATTATATCAGCAAATCATACCCAAGAGTACTCCTATTCACATAGTTATTGAAAGAATGAGCTATGTTAGTGTCATTTTATTTGTGTCTTTAAGCCAAGGTTGAATGTAAAACCGGTGTTTTAACGGTTATAGAGCTATGTATGTCGCACTACTGCTATTTAAACATAAATTCAAATCTATTGGGAAGTTATCCATAGTATAGCACCACCTGTTTCCTTGGTTAAATCTACTGTTACAGTAATAAACTATTTAAATATGAATATATAGCTGTGTGGAATTTCTGTGAGGAATTTTCGCGCCACCGTCTGTTAAGATTCTTTTCGCGCAAACTAAACCTCTGTTTTGGCGCCTTTTATACTGAAAAGCGCTTGTTCTGGCGTACTGTTGCTATGGTTACCTCCGGCGAACGGATTCTCTTCGTGAGAGTCCCTTAGTGATCTCTAACAAATTTATATCGTAATATTTGTCATTTCCGAAGGAGCTTTTAAAAGTAAATATATAACCCAAAACATGATCTGACTTGGCTGAGCTCAATTCTTGAAAGCGGCATCAGTTGCTCCTCCCTCCGCGCGTCATCAGATTGTGATTGTTTCCGGCCCCGCCCCCTCTCCGTTTATCCCCGAGCGCAAACGGTTATTCCCGTGAACCCGTTTCAGCACCGGGACAGGCATCTCGCGCTCGCATGGCAACATGGCCACAGAGGTGAGAAACAGACCTTTATTCATCGTTTTTGTGCCAGGTGTGCTTATATGACCCGTTTTTGTAAGATAGCGTCTGAATCTCGGCGTCATTTTGATCGTTTAAATCTGGGTTGGAGATCACGGATCAGTGCGGGACGTTACAGTGTATAACGTTTGCTCTGTCGCGGTTCTCACGCGTCGTTTTTAAAACCGTTAAAAATCCGTTATAATTGCTGCTCAGCCCAAAAGGCACGGAATAAAATAAACATACAATACAGAGAGTGAACTAAACCCTATAACAGCCACAAGTGAAGAGCTGACCATTGATCATTGCAACAACATGATAGATAGATAGAGATGAATGGATGGATAGATAGATAGATAGATAGATAGAGATGAATAGATAGATAGATAGAGATGAATGGATAGATAGATAGAGATGAATGGATAGATAGATAGATAGATAGAGATGAATGGATAGATAGATAGATAGGTGATAGATAGATAGATAGATAGATAGAGATGAATGGATGGATAGATAGAGATGAATGGATAGATAGATAGATAGATAGATAGAGATGAATGGGTAGATAGATAGATAGAGATGAATGGGTAGATAGATAGATAGAGATGAATGGGTAGATAGATAGATAGAGATGAATGGGTAGATAGATAGATAGAGATGAATGGGTAGATAGATAGATAGAGATGAATGGGTAGATAGATAGATAGAGATGAATGGGTAGATAGATAGATAGAGATGAATGGGTAGATAGATAGATAGAGATGAATGGGTAGATAGATAGATAGAGATGAATGGGTAGATAGATAGATAGAGATGAATGGGTAGATAGATAGATAGAGATGAATGGGTAGATAGATAGATAGAGATGAATGGGTAGATAGATAGATAGAGATGAATGGGTAGATAGATAGATAGAGATGAATGGGTAGATAGATAGATAGAGATGAATGGGTAGATAGATAGATAGAGATGAATGGGTAGATAGATAGATAGAGATGAATGGGTAGATAGATAGATAGAGATGAATGGGTAGATAGATAGATAGAGATGAATGGGTAGATAGATAGATAGAGATGAATGGGTAGATAGATAGATAGAGATGAATGGGTAGATAGATAGATAGAGATGAATGGGTAGATAGATAGATAGAGATGAATGGGTAGATAGATAGATAGAGATGAATGGGTAGATAGATAGATAGAGATGAATGGGTAGATAGATAGATAGAGATGAATGGGTAGATAGATAGATAGAGATGAATGGGTAGATAGATAGATAGAGATGAATGGGTAGATAGATAGATAGAGATGAATGGGTAGATAGATAGATAGAGATGAATGGGTAGATAGATAGATAGAGATGAATGGGTAGATAGATAGATAGAGATGAATGGGTAGATAGATAGATAGAGATGAATGGGTAGATAGATAGATAGAGATGAATGGGTAGATAGATAGATAGAGATGAATGGGTAGATAGATAGATAGAGATGAATGGGTAGATAGATAGATAGAGATGAATGGGTAGATAGATAGATAGAGATGAATGGGTAGATAGATAGATAGAGATGAATGGGTAGATAGATAGATAGAGATGAATGGGTAGATAGATAGATAGAGATGAATGGGTAGATAGATAGATAGAGATGAATGGGTAGATAGATAGATAGAGATGAATGGGTAGATAGATAGATAGAGATGAATGGGTAGATAGATAGATAGAGATGAATGGGTAGATAGATAGATAGAGATGAATGGGTAGATAGATAGATAGAGATGAATGGGTAGATAGATAGATAGAGATGAATGGGTAGATAGATAGATAGAGATGAATGGGTAGATAGATAGATAGAGATGAATGGGTAGATAGATAGATAGAGATGAATGGGTAGATAGATAGATAGAGATGAATGGGTAGATAGATAGATAGAGATGAATGGGTAGATAGATAGATAGAGATGAATGGGTAGATAGATAGATAGAGATGAATGGGTAGATAGATAGATAGAGATGAATGGGTAGATAGATAGATAGAGATGAATGGGTAGATAGATAGATAGAGATGAATGGGTAGATAGATAGATAGAGATGAATGGGTAGATAGATAGATAGAGATGAATGGGTAGATAGATAGATAGAGATGAATGGGTAGATAGATAGATAGAGATGAATGGGTAGATAGATAGATAGAGATGAATGGGTAGATAGATAGATAGAGATGAATGGGTAGATAGATAGATAGAGATGAATGGGTAGATAGATAGATAGAGATGAATGGGTAGATAGATAGATAGAGATGAATGGGTAGATAGATAGATAGAGATGAATGGGTAGATAGATAGATAGAGATGAATGGGTAGATAGATAGATAGAGATGAATGGGTAGATAGATAGATAGAGATGAATGGGTAGATAGATAGATAGAGATGAATGGATAGATAGATAGATAATGTCATAATCTGGTAATCTTGTTTGTCATTTAGTCAAATGTTCTTTATTATGGCTGAATTTAACTAACTACACTAGGATTCCTCCATTTTAAAGGGTGTGATCAGGCAGAGATGTACCTGTTTATTCTAGGTGATAGTTATGAAGTAATGTTGACACTGATCAGCAGCTGTTGTTTTTCTCTGTCAGATCGAGTGCTAAAGTAAAAAGGGAGATACCACATACACAAAGACATTTTTTATTGATGTTACTGTTTAAGTTTTGGGTAACAATTTATTTTAAGGCGTCCTTGTTACACGTTACATGTACTTACTATTATAATAACAATAAATTATGCATAATTACATGCAAGTAACGAGCCTAACTCTAATCCTAACCCTAACCATATACTAGTAAGTACATGTATTCAATTAATATTACTCAGTACTTAAATGTATAATTACACTGTAACAAGGACACCTTAAATTAAAGTGTGACCAAGTTTTGCAACCATAAATGTTATAAGAATAAAAAATAAGCTTTTTCAATAGTGCTTTCAGATATGTGGACTTATTTAGTAGTTTATTGCTGACACCGAGTGTCACGATGGCCTGAAATGCTGTTGCTTAGATCAGATGCTTAGATTGATAAAAGAGCGTGTGTTCTTAAAGCACTGTGTTCATCACACAAGATGACAAAGGCTGGTGTTTATGGTCAGAAGGATCTGGTGCTGTATTCAAATGAGCGCGTGACGTAGCGGAGCACGCAGCTGGACATCAAAGAGGATAAAAGCGGCTGTCCACGGCTGCTTAAGCTCTTTTAGCCAGAGCAGATTGAGTGTTTGTGCGTCTCTTTCATCGGTGACCGGATCAGGAATGAGTTCAGCACCGCGGACAGCGACGGAGCGAACAAAACTCCCGTACTGCCACGAATCTGTAAGAGTTTTTTTTTTTTTAATTCCCTTTTTTAAAAGTGATTTAACTGACGATATTTGCTGTGATTTCCTGCGGTTGGGATTTAAAATGTGATCTCACAAGTTGTTCTGGGGTTCATTTAAGAGTTAAATGTATGTCCGCCGTCCCGCCGAGTAACCTTGAGGGCGCGCGTGATGTTGTGGTTCGAGCGCGAGATCTCTTTGTTTAATCTCGTGCGAGCGGAAAGCAAGCGTAGCCTACTCCTCGGGGTAACGGTCAATAATCATTCTGTACAGGCTCCACCGGATGACTAGATTGTGTTTTGATATATTTGGTATCAGCGGTGAGTGAGTGTGTGTTAAATGATCGTCTCCTCGCGATCGATCGGTTGTGCTCGCGGGAGTCGGTAACAATGTCTCATCTTTCTGAGACAGTTACCAGGAGCGGCTTGCATGCATAATTAAGGAGGCGTTTAGTAACAACAGCCCAGAACGTTTAGTTGCGATAAGTCTCGGTTTACCGGTACAAAAGTGGCGGTAACATAATGCAATGGTGGTATCAGGTGGTATTGTACAATGGTACCCTGCTGAAAAAAAAACAATAGAAACTATCACGGAATTGTACTGGTTTTAATGGAAACTGTAATGGTGCCTGTTGGGTCACCTTCTATTGGTGGCTTGTTAAGACCACTAAATCCTAATGGGATATTATATATAGCATTTTAATGGTTAAAAGTTGATGGTTTCTGTTGCTTTTTCAGCAGGGTGTTTATATAGAACTGTGAAGTACTTAAAAAACATGGTGCTAGCATGCTATATGTTCCTAAATCAAAAGTACCTAAGGTATTGCTAACAAAATTTTGCCAGTTGTACATTGTCCATGGTCCATGTATTATTTTTAAGTAGCATGGGATGGTGTATGAACGTGTTAATAATTGCATACAGTGGTTTATATCGAAGTACCATTCTTTCATTAGATTTTTCCCAACATCGTTTAGTTCTAGATCCTTCTGAGTGTATTTTTGAGGAGTTCAACAGGTAAATGTCGTGTTGTGCATTATTTGACACCGGATATGCCTTTTATCTGAGCTGTGCAAGAATTCTTGAGATCTGAGCAAATGTTGAGTGCCAGAAATTGATCTCGTCCACAGCATTGAAGAGCTGTGTGTGTGTGTGTGTGTTTGAATCAGTGTGTGCTGTCTCAGCCTGTTACTATTTCAGAAGGAGCCATTCACTGGCAGGCCCTGCTGCTAAAACAAAGCGAGTTTTTAAATAACAGGTTGCCAGGACTGCCAGGGTAATTATACTGTCCCTTGCTTGCAGTCAGAATAATCTTTATCTGACCTTCAGATGTCCAAAGATAAAGAATAACATACAGTGATGTCCTCATTGATGCCAGTTGAGCTAAGTGTTTGTGTGGTGGAGCTGTGCAGTAGTTTGTTAAGCAATGTGCTTTCTTATTATATTCTTCCAGTGTATGAACATTACTGTTACTGCTAGAGAAGGAGGTGAGAAGGCAGGGAAGGAGTGGGGGATGGAAGCACCCACGACTCGTGCTGATGTTAGTGTGTGTGTTGGCAGTGACAGATGGCCAGTCGCTCTGATGTTTGTGTGTGTGCATACAGGCAATGAAGTGTCCATTAAATTATAAGGTCATCACTGGATTACTCTATAAGTTAATGATGACATCACTGCATTACTGTATGGGCTTTCATGATCATTAGCTCACAAAATGCAGTGTTGTCAATAGCTTGGAGTAATGCAGTGATGAAGATAAATGAAGAAAATGTCACTGCATTACTCTGAGTAAATGACAACATCACTGAATTACTATTAATATAATATAGATTAATATAGATAATGACAAAATCACCTGAAATTCTCTATGAGATAATGACATCACTGCATTACTTTGAGATAATGACAACATCGTTTAATTTTTCTGAGATGATGATGAAATCACTGCACTATTCTATAACACTGCTAACACAATGTCATCACCTGCACTACACTGCTAAAATGTCTAGTACAAGCTGTCACTGACTAGCAACAATGTTCATATGTGATATAGCTGAATGCTAGCGGTTAATTTCCTCGTCAAACTTCTGATTTCACTAGAAAATTCTACAACGCAGGACAGGAAACTGCACTTGTCAAGCTATTTTCATGCATTGTTTAACATCTAACAGGCGAAGGAAACTGAATTTATGATTAGATCAGAAGGCAGCACACTGTAACCCTCTCTCGTCCTCTGCTGTAGTTCCACAACCTTCAGGAGTTGAGACACAGTGCATCTCTGGCCAATAAGGTCTTCATTCAGAGAGACTACACGGATGGCACCATCTGCAAGTTCCAGACCAAGTTCCCCTCCGAGTTAGACAGCAGGGTAAGAGTGTGTGTGTGTGTGTGTTGTGTGTGAGTGTGTGTGTGGCAGAAGAAAAGAGACACAACGCAAGTAAAAAGGAGAGGATGAGAAAAGGGCTCTTCACTCAGAGAAACTCTGCTCTTTAGCAAAGCACTGCTGAGTGCGCAAACTCCACACACACAATGAGCTGCTAATAGAGCTGTTTAAAGGTGTTAGATCATGTTACAGACGCCCAGTAAAGACTTGCTGAGGAAATGACAGGGAAAGGGAGTTTAACATGTAGAGCTTTCTGTGTCTTTCTCACAATCTGTTTAATTATTTTGATGCAATCAAGAGTTATCACGTGATGTCTGGCATGAGACTGATATCTTTACAATGTCAGTCAGTTTTTGATTCAAACCCATTCGTTTTTGCCATATATTGTCCTTGGGTGAACTCCCTGGTGCTCTCTGATTGGCTGACTCATCTTGTCCTTGCACCTGATTGGTCAGATTGAGAGGACGCTGTTTGAGGACACGGTGAAGATGCTGAATAATTACTATGCAGAGGCGGAGAAGATCGGAGGCCAGTCCTACATCGAGGGATGTCTGGCCTGCCTCACGGTTTACCTCGTATTCCTGTGCATCGAGACGCGCTATGAGAAGGTGCATTATCAGTTTCAGATAAAGCCACCCTGAAATGGCATGTAAAAATAAAACATACTATCATATGTTGCTTTATGTGCCGGTTTTCGCAAACTATGGCAAATAAAAATTATGCTGATGATTAAAAGTGCATCTTGTGTGTGTTTGTGCAGGTGCTGAAGAAGATCTCGCGGTACATTCAGGAGCAGAATGAGAAGGTCTACGCTCCTCGAGGTCTCCTCATCACAGACCCCATAGAGAGAGGCATGAGGGTCGTATCCTTAAAGAGTCTGTCTGTCTGTGTGTGTGTGTGTGTGTGTGT